TCTAAATATTTGAATGTGACACCCAAGGAGACCTCGAAAACCATGTGCTGAGATTGATAAATTCTGTTGTCACCAGAATCCCTAAATATCACTGAATTACGACAGGGAGCAGAACTCATCCCCTCCACCTACACTGGTTGAACTTCATGTGTACAAGAGATAAACTTCTATGTTGTTAAGCAACTGAGATTTGGGTGCTAGTGTTACTCTTAACTAGCCAATTTAACTTATTTAAAAACCAATAAAGAAAGAAAATTAAATTCTATGTCCTAATTCTATATTTCTGGATATATGTTGTATAAAATGGAACATAGAGTAATTTCCTCTTAGGAATGGAAGTGTATTGGGTTTGGAGGACAATCTGAATAAAGACCCTCACATTATGTGCTTCTATAACATTAGAGTTATTTGGCATTATTTCTTTAACTTGATATATATAAAACATTATACAATTAATTGTGTCTAAGGAAATCCAACAGAAATATGGAGACAATAATTTGGAACTATGTCGTGAGGAAAGAAAACGGGAATTTTAAAATTAAAGTATGTCATAGGGGAATCCTAATGTATGAAAAGCATGAAGCATGGAATATTGAAAATATTATACTTGGATGTTATTAGAACACACATTGGGTATATATATATTGACACAAGAAACAGATAAAATTGAAAAGTAAGATGAAATCAAATCATAGAGGAATGCATATTTTGGATTAGAATAATTCGGGGCATAAGAGTAATAGTAATACTAATAAGAAAAATGAGTGCAATGAGAAGGATGGATTAGAGGAAGATTTGGAATGAAAGGAAGTATGAACATAAAATTGATAAAAGGGTATTTTACTAGTTTACAAGAAGGAAGGAAGGGTATAATTTGAGATATGGAAGGGAAGAAAAGAAAACGAATTGAGAGTTTCTGATACTTCCTGATTTGACATATAAGTGGAAAGTGTTAATCTAGTTCCCATTCAGCCTTGGGCTCTGGAATAAAATTTGGAGGGCTTGCATGTTCTCTGTGATCAAGATCAACTCCAAGTATGGCTGGCAGGAGAAAGGAAAATCAGATTCTATCAAAGGGGAGCACAATTTACAAAAATACCCACCCTATCTACAGGGTGGTCTGGAGTGCCAGTGCTACCTAACACACAGGGATGTGGTGAACACCAATTATGTGAGAATGAGAATGCTTATGGTCTAGGGAAGCCTATATATGAATATGTAATAGCTAAAGAGTAGAAGGTGATAGAAATGAGGAAAGCATTTCTCCAGAGAAAAATTAGAAAAATTAAAATCACACACAATTGTGTTAATAATGAATTTATGTGCATTTTAAAATGCTAAACCTTACTAAATGCATTATGAGGATATGATTCTTATTGTATTGTATAATACTGTCCTTAAAAAAGAGTAACTTTAGAAAAATCATTTCTCAAAAAAAAGAGTAACCCTTGGTATTATGTTTTTTCAGATTAATTTTCCATGTACAATTTGTTGTTTTGATATCTAATAATCATTTTGAATGACATGAGAATTTTACATGTATTAACAGTAACATTATATGTTCCTCCTTTAATATAATAATGCCAATTAAATACATTTTAAACAGCAAAAACATTTTTATGTTGTTTTTCAGATAAAATTTACTGTGATTAATTATTTTCAAAGTTGTTGGATCAAACTAAAAACAACATAAAAGTTTAAAACTAGCTGAGAATGAGGACAATTTAAAATTTTGAAGCCATTTTCAGTATGTTTAAAGCTCTATTAAATATTATGATGTTCTCATGATTTTGAAAGTTAAAGCAGAAATTGAATTATCTTGATTTATGCCTGTTAGGCACCACCACTAAGACGTTAGTAGGTATTTTTCGTTTTCCTGCCTGAAAATTGAGGGCCTGACATCTAAGAAACTCCACATAAATAGTACAGGAGATGTTAGGTTACAAATCTAGGTGTAAATATGGATATAGGTCTGTTAAATACAAGTGTATGTGTTTATAAATACTATATTTTATCATGCATAAGTAGAGATATGGATGCTTAGAAAGAATGAATAGCCATCACGACCTTTTCTATACACTATTGTCAGAGAGAATTCTACTTAGCTGGTCTGTCCCTGTATGGCTACAGGTGAATGGAACACATAGTAGTTAGGACAGTTCAGAAAACTACTTTTAATTGAATTGGAGTTCATTATTCTACCTACTACATTTATGAATAAAGAAGTGTGATTTAAAACAACAGCCAGTTTCTAGTTTTTATATAACTAGCTACTAAAGAGTAAAAATTTGATAATAAAATTATTGGTGTAAAGGAGGTAAAAGTTGTTACTATATAAATTATAGCAACTATTTTTACAATGTTTTTTAATAAACTTGAAAATCTCAAACCTGATTTATTTCTAAACTCTTATAAATTCATGATTTATAGAAAAAAAAGAAATTATAACTTCACTGCTCCTGTTTTACATTACTAATTATATTAATATGTTCATCATCCAGTTATTTTAATAAACCTCCACATTCACTTGATATTTTAACCTTTATGTAAAAATAAGTTGAAATTTTAGCAATCAGAAAAAAATATTCTTTTAAAATATATAATGAATTGAATAAATTTTCATTCTAAATTTTAAAATAAGTAAATTCATAACATAACATACAACTTACAAAAAGAAAACTACTGAAAGCCAAGGACTATTAATATTGTTATATTAGATATGAAATTTGTTTTTTATAACATAGAATATACCTGACTAATGCTGCTTTCAAAATTTTATTTATGATCTTGATGTTTTAACTGATAGATCAATTGATAGTAATTATTTTTGTGTAATCAGTTAACAACTGAAATGTGGAAAATACTGATTTTTTTTCCAGGTGAAATATAGGCTCCCTGAGCAGCTACAGTAGGAGAAAAAAGTAGTGACATTTAATTCAGTCTAATTTATTCCTGAGAAAGAAGTGATTGACTACAGTTCATGAAGTCCATGGCAAATGTTAGATGAAATGATGAAATTATTCAGAAATGCTGAAACCAAAAATTAAATTGGAATTTGGAATCCTGAGTAATAAATCCCAAGTAATTCAAATTAGCATTGCCATTTAACTTGACAAAAGTTACCTTAAAAGGACAAACTTATGCTGTGAGTACAAATAAGAAGAACTAAACTAATCTTCGAATAGAAAAAAATCAGAGAAAGTTGATTATAATATTGCATCAAAAGTGTTGGAATTTATATTATTTATGAAACAAAAGAATTATGTAATAGAATAATGAAATTAATCCCAAGGTGACAAAATTATTTTCACCTATTTTTCTTGTTAGTAGTGTGGTACATTGCTTATTTACAAAAAACAGTATTCAAATTAATTTATAAATATTCATTAGAGAGCCTACTAAGGGGCCAAACATTGTTGTTCAGGATAACATGAAGAAAAGAGCAGAGGTAATTTGTCTGTCCTTCATGGAGGCTGTAGTCCAGAGGAAAGAGAAGAGGGAAAGCCTCGGACTTGTCATAAAAATAAACATATTGTTACGATCTGTGATGAACACCATAAAGAAGAATTTCAGGTTGTAAAATGATTGTAACACAGAAGAATTGACCTGTAGCTTAACATTATATTGGTAAAATGTTTTTTATAAATTGTTATCTATTTCATGTTCTTCAACATTCTTATTCCAATAAATTGACATCAGTGTGCATAGTAGATACAAAAAATAGCTATTTTAGTCTCTAATGTCAGCTGGAAAATATGTTTGAACTGACTTCTTTTTCCTAAGCTTTTATCTTTGTGACAATGTACAAAATAAAAATTCACTCAAGTTAAATTGTTGATTATTTCTATTGCAGCAAAATTTTTTACATTAAAAAGATAATTTTCTCATGATTATATGAAGTGAAATTCCAAAAACACTGCTTTTCCAAACAGTATTTAAAACTCACAAGTACACTGAAGACATTAATTCAACAAATGTTTATAAAGTGTTTATTATGAATAAGGATTTCTGCCAAAATGAGAAATTTGTGTGTGGAAGGAGGATAGAAAAACAATGACCATGTGTAGCCTAACGGGAGAGGTTGTACACAAAATAATGTAACTGTAAGCACGTTGTAAATGTTCTAACAGTGGTACAAATGACATATGATGAGAGAAAACCAATTTCATCTTGTTGAGCCTCTAACTAATGCTCAGGATATGTATAGGTGGGGACTTGGTATACAGGTGTAAATTAGATAGAAAAAGAGAAATAATATAACGCATAGAAAGTAGTTGAACAAACTTCCTGAATTAGGAAAATTCAGGGTGTATAAGAATTAGTAATCTCATTTGGCTCGAGAGAATTTAAGGTACTTATTATGAATCATGATAAAGTAGGCTAGAAAAGTGGAAAGAAATTAGACTGTTGAGGGGCTTTGGGTGTAAAAATAGGTAATTTCATGTAATTCGGAGAGAATTTTTTGTTGTTAGTCACTATTTATTAGAAAAGAAAAATTAAACTGGTAGTACAGTTTGTGAAAAAAATTAGTAAATCATATGTGGGTATTTCTAAGGTACCTCTTGGATAACTCCCAAAAAATGAATTCTAAGTCACTTTGGGGAATGTATATTTCTAGCAAACAACCTAGAAATCACCCAAGTTTAACTTTAAAATGTAACATGGCCAGATTTCCTAATCTTAGGCTCATAAAATTTGTAGTAAACAAAGGAGGTCTCATGTTAGGCCAAAATTCTAATCCGTTCCCTTAAGAGAATTGACTCTTAAACTTGTGAAGGCCAATTCGTCCAGGTTTCTTACTACTTTAAAGAAATTAGTTTCTCAAAACCACGTAGATTTACTACAGCTACACGTGATTTACCCAGGGTCCCATTATGTAGCTTAGACATTTTTAAGACTTAAAAAAATCTCATAATTGTAAAACCAACATAATTGTATTTGCCCTCAGTCACTAGTACTTTGACTTATATTTTGTTTTCTGATCTGTTTATCAATCACAGATCCCAGGATGTTACTCTGTCTCCAACAGCTTCCTTCGTTGCTCCCTCTGGAGTGACAGAAGAGATTGACTCCACCTGGACTTTCCTCAGCCCCTCTCCTGCAGCGCCCTCTGTGTGCCAGGAGGAAGTATGCCACAACGGAGGCACCTGCCGGCGCATCTTCCTCTCCAGTGGTGTAACCTCCTTCCAGTGTGACTGCCCACTACATTTTACTGGCCGTTTCTGTGAAAAAGGTAATCAATCTTCATTATCCTGCTATATTTCTTTTTAAAAACTTCTCCGGAGAATGGAAGACAGTTGAAACACATTATAAACATGCTGATGAATACCAGCCCAAAGAAGAAACATCTGTATAATTTCATTTGAAAATGAATTCTAACACTTCTAAAATGAATTCTGAACATTCTCAGCTCAGTGTTGTAGAGACAAAACTAAGATTGTTTTTGCATTAGAAATGGCATTTAAAATATATCTTCAATTGCCACATAAAAGGAGTTAAAATTCAAATGTAGTGTTATTATTTAGCTGTTTCTAAAATTATGGTGAATCCTTTCTTTATCACCATAGAGCATAGCGACAATTGGGTTCTAATTAATACTACTTATATTGCTTACTGGCTAATCAAATCACTACATTTTTATATTTTATATACAGATCCCCATATTTAAATTTAATGTTTAAGAAAATGCATTATTTTTTGATGCTTAAGAATATGGTTTCAGCATTAATGGAGCCATTTATGAATCAAAAAAAAATGCTACTGTATTGTGAACATCTAATAGCTTCTAAGAGATTTTTAGTTCATTAAGACAGTGCTGGGCAACTAAAGCCAGAATTGCCCTGGACGGATTACAAAGGCATCAGGTCACAATGCGGTTTAGTGAAAAGCGTCCATTGTTGTCTCTATAAAATTAATCACTAGTTCTAAATTAGGAGGGTGGGGATGGAGATTACTATTGAGTTATAATTCAGATTGAAGAAACTTTCATCACTTATCTAAGACTGTATTAAATAACTCTTCTTTTTAGTGCTAAAATGTGGGACCTCATTAATTCAAAGATACATATATGTTATTCTTCCCAAATGATCTTGTGTGACTAATGTGAATGTTTGAACATTCAGCAACATAAGCAAATACAGTAAAAAACACAGAAATGGAAACAGTTTATTTTCATGTTCATTTTAAAGCATCATATAAATATTCTTAAAAATCAATTTTTTAACTGTAAAATGTTTTTGAAGACACATCACAATGGCTTGATTTTGGGACAAATACTTCTGTATGGAAAATATCATGAGATTTGCTTTCTGCTACAATTTAAGATCATTTATGTTACATTCTATGAGTAGAGGTCTAGGGAGATAATTTAGGTTATAAAGCTCTTTTAGATTCACATTTAACATTTAAAACTCAGAGAGAGCTTTTTCTTTCTTTAACTTTGTGCTAGGCGGAGTCTTTGAAAAATACCTTTTTTATGTCTCTTAAAATATACTTTGATATTTTAATTTTTTAATGTTAGCTCATGTTCTGGTCAATCACACATACTATACTAGGAATAACCCCTAAACCCTCATTCCTTCCTGTCCTACTAAATCCCCAATTCTCTCTGCTTTAACTTTTTACCTATTAGCTTTAATACTTCACAGAGTAACCTATATTTTTCTCCAGAAAAAAAAGAAATTCAGGTGTATTTGGAGTTAAGACAAGGCTTGACTGAGGTTTAATGTATTTAGTGGTTTTGGCAGCAGAATGTAGGAAATTGACCTCAGGAAAAAAACTGTGAATCTGCCCTATATTCATTGTTGGAATTATTTTATTTTTTTTCATATTGTTAATCACTCTCTATTGAATTTATAATATTTTAAAAACTAATAAATTGGATGATAATATTTTGCTAAATAATAGATAATCTACTATAGAATGTTTATTTTAAATGCATAATAATCAGAAACTATGCATATTTTATTAATAATTATTAGCAATTATAAAAATATATTTCTAAAAGAAAATTTGATTCAGTATACCTGAGGCATATGATACACTAAACAAAATTCAGCAATAGGACTATTTTTAGACTATTAGATATCATAGTATTATCTTAATTTGATTAATATTATCTCCTTTTCTAGGAAATATTTCAGTATAATACATAGAGTTTTTTTGTGATGTGCATTTTCAGAACTAAAAATATTATTTCTAAATATAAAACTAGTAGATATTTATTTTTAACCATTTTAACTATTTGCCCCTTAAATTTGAATAAAGTACCTTGCCTCTTTCAATGATAAAGAAAGCCAAGAGCAGTTTTGTATTTTCAACCTATTGCTATAAATATAATTCATAATGGTATGTGCCTTAGAATCCACACTGAAAGATGTTGACTGCTGCCTAAGGCTGTGATTCAGCAACCAGGTACCATGATGTAACTTTTTATATATGAACTAGGTTGGCCAGATGCCATAATTTTTAAGTGTAAATTTCAATAAACCGTATTGTAGACCAAAGTGTTTCCATTGCCTGGTAAAAACTTTGCTTTGGATAAGCAACTCCTAAATCTTCCCTATTTATATTTATTATACATGCATATAAAATCTCTTAGAAATGTTCTTAGTATGAAATGCTTAAAGTTTACAGATAAATCAGAATTTACCGATAGATCACCACAAAAATAATTTCTTAAATGAGTCCTTTATTGAGTAGTACAATCGACACCTAAAATTTATGAACTTCTGCTTCAGGAATAAAATTTACATAATATTATTGTGAAGAGTTCTGACTTATCAGACACTGCAGTGAATGCTTCATGCATATTATTTCACTCAACCAGCTGAAGTGGGCTCTCTAAATTACCTCCCTCCCCCCCATTTACAAATGAGAGATCTAAAGTCTAGAGTTGTTAAATTATTTTCTCAAGGTCACACAGCTTGTACATAGTAGAAATGGGATTAGAGTAATTTTGACTGACTCCAGATTTCACATTTAACCACCATGCTATATTGCCGCACTAGTTAGAAAATCGAATTTAATGTGATGGCATGAAGTAGAATTTTTACATTGTTCCACTCTTTTATCTGTTTGTAAAAAGCACCTTTACTTTAGGAAGAAAAGAGATATTTCTTAAAAAAATAAAATTTCAAAAATCAGAGAACCAAAGAAGTTAATATGGATCTAATAAGTTTTTAATGAAGAAGGTATTATCATAACCCCATTCAATTAAACTGAAAAACACATTAGGTGACCCCCAAAAATTATCTTGAGTGGTCACATATTTTCAAAATGATTTCACTTAAACTAAAATATAGAAAGTAGTTTTAAGAGTATTTGAATTTCAGGAAAATCTAGATATAACTGATGAAAGAACATGACTGAAAAAATATTAATTGCATAGACATCTAGATGTAAAGATATTTTGGAAATTAATTTTTCTTCCCAAGCCTTGCTCCTTTTTAACTTCTAGTTAATATTCTTAACTGAGAGAGAATGCTAAACTATTTTATCTTAAAAGCTTTGATGTTTCACAGAAAAATGGAGGTAAAAATTAACATATAGGCCTATAGCACTAGAATAAGTAACACAGAAAGTGCTTTGCGAGCTATGTTGCCCAATAATGAGTAGCCTGCACACATATTTCCTATCTATTTGGCATTACATCATGTGCTCTACTTTATCAAATCTTCCATACTCAATCAGCTAATGACATTGTCTTATAGAATTAGTTTGATTTAATATTTTTTTCTCAGCACATACTATCTTAATTCATATTAGCTAAACCTTGTTGCCCACTTTATCATAATTATCCTGCATCTCACCAAGGGAAACATAAGAACATATATATATATTCTTGCTTTGTTTTATGTGGCTGCATGCAGGCAGATGGCTGTCTCCTACTGTAAAGTTCAGAGTGACAGATTTAGAATATCAGTGCCTTGTGCTCGGGGAAAGCGTATGCCTCTGACTATTAATTATAGTATTAACATTTTTAAACAGCCACATACTTTTTAGTGTTCCATGAAGCCATTTTATAAATAGTTCAATAAATGAGTATTTGAATGCCATACATTAAAAGCAAGAAATCTTTTGTTTTATTTGATATCCTGTCTGTTTATGTTCCATATATGTTTAAAGGTTAACTGTACTGAGTAAATTGCAAACCTAAAAATAAAAATGAGAAGTTTTACTAGATGTTTTGTCTTGTTAAAAATAAAAAAGACTGCTTTGATGTCAGTCTTTGTTTTTACCATAACTGAAATATATTTAAAAGTCACATTAGTCTAAATGTATTAACTTTAAATCAGGGGGCTGAATGTCAGGCATTCCAAAGCCAAAAAAGGCAGAGAAACAGAGCATTGATAAGGTTTTTATAATCAGGGATTTGTCTTCTTTCCAGAGAACTGATGGTCTACATCATCAGAATAAAATCAAGAAATAGGTGTCTGCCTTTTCACACATAATACCCATGTCTGAAAATCTATCTTTGAAATCAGAGAGTAATGCTGCATATTTGTTAATAAATGACAATAGCTGATATATTAGGACGTTAAATTGAAAACGAATGGGGATTGAAGTCAAGGACAGGGGCTGAAGGGAGATAAGATTACCTATTATCAAAATGAGAGGATTTCATTTTTGAAGGCAGGGGCAAGCTGGAGGTCTCTAATCAGCTCTGCTCTTCACCACTGTCAGCTACTGCATTCTCAACCAGGGAGCACTATGACCAGCTGGAGAAAAAAAAAAGACACTCCCTATCCTGGTACTTATATTAAATAAGTGTGACATAAAGTATAAATCAAAGTTGGCAGGGCTGTATTCTTCCCTGGATTTTCTAGAGGAAAATGTATTTCCTTTCCTTTTCCATCTTATAGAGGCTATCTTCATTCCTTGGCTCAGGGCCCCTTCATCCATCTTCAAAGCAAGCAATGGTGGGGCTAATTGTTCTCATTATTACTCAGACCTACTTTTCCACCTCCATTTTCTACATTTAAGGATGCTTGTGATTACATAGATCCCACTGAGATAATCCAGGATAATCTCTGTGTCTCAAGTGAGCTGATCAGCAATTTTATTTCCATCTGCAACCTCAGTTCTCCTTTATCATATAAGGCTGCAGTCCCCAACCCCAGGGCTGAGGACCGGTACCAGTCTGTGGCCTGTTACTGGCCAGGCCACACAGCTCCACCTCCTGCCAACCACTGCCCATGGAAAAACTGTCTTCCATGAAATGGGTTACTGGTG